GAAACCTACAGTTACCATAGAAATAAGGCGTAGAGACGTTTCAGCGACACATGTAAATAGACAGACAGTATCAGCGGACATAAGCAAGAGTTTGCTCGACAAAAAGCAACCGGAAAACTTCAACAAAAGCCATATGAAAAAGGTATTCATATAAAAATTATTCAATTCTCAGCCGCGTCGTGTGAAAAAAGTTTCCAAATAAGCGCAACGAAATTCAAAACAATGTTTCAAGGCCGTATGGCACGGACACATTCACACAACAAACCGAAGAGAAAACATTTTATGGATGTATAAAACTCCAAAAAGCCTCCACCTATTTAGAATTACATCAAATGTTCAAAGCAACAGCTAAAACTAGAAGTTCTTAATCATACGCTAAATTAAACGGTCAGTAAAGGCTCCCCGTTGGGTCACCTACCTGCTGAACGCCAGTAACCTGTGCGCTTCCAGCGAAAGACTCATGCTGAAATCAGGAAGCCACGAAAGGCCACAACTGCGCCGCCTAGTGGTGAGCTATTCATTGACTTTAACAGTAAGCCTATTTCTGGTTTTAGTCGTTTATCTCCATACTAATTTGCCTCCTGTCATTTCAGCACTGTAATTCCGCGTGTATGAGAGGCAGCATTTTCTCTGAGCAATGTTTTAAGACGAAGAAAGTCACGCCTCAATGGAGGTCAATGAACTATTATGTTCATGTTCATGCTGCCTTGTTAAGTGTACCCTACTGGTTTAGGTTGTTTACACTGAAGCACATCCCTGAACATAGGTCTGTAGGGTATTATTCTGTCTGTTTTCCTCACATGGTATTAATATGCCACATTATTAATCACCCTAGGCTACCTAACACAAATAAATAGTTTGTGTTGGCTATGAAGACTCACTGAACAGTAAAATTGATAATGGAAGGGTTTTTAAGAATGTGTTCTTAATTTTTTTTAAACTATTTTATATCTGTTTCAGATCATATTTGAGAATAGGCAAACATTGTTTTGTAGAGTAAAAACATACAGTAATTTACAACCAAGATGATATCCATATTTTTAAGAATTATTAGCTAAATCTGTCACAACAACACATTTTTGAACAGTGATAGTGAGGTTAAAAAGGAAAAGTATTCAAAAAGAAAGAAATTACCTTCTCCATTAGAATATTCTGCCAAAGCCGAAATATACTCTGGTAACTTTTCTCCCTAGCTGGGAATGAGCTGAAGAACAACTATGGAAAATTCCAAAATAAATGTTTTCGTCTTCATACGCACGACAAAATTAAGAATTAAAAACTTTGATCGTTGAATTTCACCTTTTCTGAATCAGTACTGATCTGGATAGCATTTGGTATCCATTTCGCTGTCTTCTCTCTTGACATTGAGGTGACATCCTTCATATTTACCATGATCTAAGTCAAAATCAGGTTTATTGTCATTTTTTGCAGAGCAATGGAATCTATAAAAGAAATTCCTAATAAAGCTTATCAGATATGCTCACTATATGTACATAGGTAATAGCATGATAATAATTCATAGATTGACAAAGTCTTATTGCACAACTCACTTTTGTACCACGAAAAACATGACTGTAGAAACAAAAACAATTCTCTGTAAGGTAGATGCGGCCTTGTAACAAGATATCCTTCTGGAGAGCACAGGTGTAGTCTAGGAAAAAGTTGGATCATTCAAACCACATCTAATATGGTTATACAAATATTGTATAAAGCAAACATTTTTGAGTTGATTATTATTATTTTTTTTTTTTTTTCTCTCTCTGTCTCCCTCTATCAGTCTTACCTGCAATTAGTTTCTCAGACACGGGCACCTCTCTGAATAATTTCCGAAACTCGTCACTCCTCTGTTTATAACTACTGTAAAGCAATGCTTCAGGTGACTGAGGTGCTGCTATTCCCTGCCCACTGACTTCCAGAATCTGTGAGGTAAAATCACAGCAAGTAAATAAATAAAAATTAAAAATAATAATAATATTTGTGAATCTGTGTAATACACACTGTAAAAGCAGCAATAGCTTACTATCTCACAACATTGAGCAATCAATGCCAGTTGCGTAATCTCATCATGATAGAGTGTCTGTAATCTTTTGCAGGACAAAGTACAGCAAACTGTACACTATAATTCTGCTTAATATCATATCTATAAATTGAAGTTAATACAGTGTTGCCATGGGACTTCTACCAATGTAATCTGTATAAAAGCAGCATGTTCAATCTCACCTCTTTCTCTTCGGTCCATCTGACTTCCCCAGACTGACTGTTGTCCTGTGTGAGCTCATTGCCCATCTCTTGTTTTGGTTTTTCGGTCATGCCTTTCCTCCTGGTGAAGTAAACTTGAAGGTAATGATGTTTTACCAAACCACTTTTTGAATAATAATGGTCCGATTGATCTACCAGCTTTTAGTAAAACCAATAAGCACAGAAAAGTATTTTATTTGACTGTATTACAAATGATTTAATTATTTAAAGCTTCATTCTTAAAAACAAAACAGACTATTGTGTGAAAAAGTTGTCTTTTTTAGACATTATTCACTGTCAAAAAAAAAAGTTGCTGCCTTAAATTTTTAAGTACAATCAACTTGAATTACATTAAACTGACTGAAAATGAGTTGAATCTTGTATAACTTATTTAATATAAATTTTTACAGTGTGAACAGTTCTTAAAATAACCATTTTTCTTAGGACATTTTAATAATGTGAATCCTTTTTCTACTAAGAACCTTTTGTGCAGGGGTTCCATGGATGTTAAATGTTCTTGGAACCATTGATGCCAATAAAGAACCTTTATTTTTAAAAGTGTTGACAGAAACATTACAGAACATTGAATGTATAAATAAAGGACTTCAGAGGCTTGTTCTCATAGACGAAATACATACCAGAGAAGGTCGTGTTCAGTCGTGGCTGGCTGGTTACATCCAGGTGTAAGAGTGTTACCATAAGCTTCAACCGTCGCCGATATTCCAAATGCTCGTAAACTTCCGACAGCAGTGTCGTCGCGTGCTGCGGTCTTCTTGTTGTCTGTCTCCGTCTCGTTGTTGAGACCGTCCTACTCACACCTGGCAACCTGTACAGTCAGATTCTACCCGCTCATGAAGCAACACTCGACGCTGAGAACAAGCTTTTGTATTTGCATATTTTACGTATCACATAAGAGACTCCTTTTTTTGTGAAGTCAAATTCTAAGAAAGTTTAAATTAAGCATAACGCTTAAACTGGGGCTCAAAAGTTGACAAAACATTACATTAAAAAATATATTTTATTTCTTTACAGATTAATAAAAGTTTAAATGTAGCCTATCATTTTTTTTTGTCTTTATTAGGCTATTTGCAGTGTCTGTTCAGTTTAAAATGCATATTTAAGTAGCCTATATGTTTCTGTTTGAATCCTATTCTATTACAGACACCTAGCAATTTTGACCGCACTGTTTAAGTAGGCTATCATGCTCGAAAATCGGAAAATCAAGTTGAAATGACAGAAATTGGCGTGACATTTTCATGGGTTATGGATGTAAGCTAACATAATGTGGTGTAACATTTTATTGCGCTTTTGCACCGGTTGAACAGTTTTATTTTAGGCAACAATTTTATTAATTAAAAGACCAAATAGACAATTTTTAATTAAATAGGTTTATGAGGTTTAGGCACTTTGGACATCTTTATTAATAAGGTTAGATTTACCTATGGTATTTGATATAAGCTCTAACAAGATAGTAAAGTCAAACCTAATCATAGACAAGTTAGTTATGACTGTTTATGTAACACGTGAAGATAAGACTGAAAAATAGAAAGTGTTCGAAATGTATCGACAAGAACTCAGGGCAGGGAACTTTTCTACATTTAATTTTTAAGATGAGAAAATGCAGTAAGACCAGTTATACAAACTGACATCACACATAAGCACATATCCTAAAGTAAATATGGCATAGTAAAGGAAGACACCTCTGCTTAAACATGATATTCAACCTTTGAGAACATACCAAACTTGAAGGGTAAGAATTTGCAAGTGTAACATTGCAATGAATACTGACCCATCAAGTATTTGGATGTATTGTATTGTTCTTATCTTAAGTAATGGCTACATTTGTAATCTACACGTTAAAATGGAGTTTATAGGAGAAATCGGTTTCTTTTACCCTATAGAACGGAGAATGATATGGCATTTCATATCACACCATATGAAAATGGGAAGAAGTGCATTGTTCTTGGCTGCACAGTGACTTGAACAAAGCTAGAAATACTTGAGGAACTACTCCCTACAGAGTGATGCAAACACAACACCACCCAATTTATTTTTACATACTTCAAAACATGTGTAAAATGACGACTGCCTGAAAACCTTCCATGAGTAAGACAAGGGTGATAGTGGCAAGGAATATATTTTCACATATTTCATTTTCAGAGATTATCACTTGTAGCCATGATAATCTTTCTTGCTCAAGTATTATTTAGCAAAATGGCTAAAAGGCTTAATTTTCATTTAATGAAACTACTACAAGCATTATATTTGAACATGCAGGACCCAAAAACGCAGCCAGAAATACTGTAATTCACAATACTTGTAAATTCATTCATATTTATTTAATTTTTCAGGACTCAAACACATTTTCATGTGAGCAATGAAGAGGAAGTGTACTGCATCCTCCAAAAAATATACAGGACAATACTGCAATAAACAGCCATACCAAATTTTGTAAACCATTAAAACTGTAAATATACCAGCTTTAAATATATCGAACCTCTGAAGTCATGTCTTTTAATCTTCTGTACAGATAAAAATAGAACAATAATTACATCAAATTATTTAATAACATCTATATCTATGGAGAGGATGATACAATATAAAGAAGAACTAGGGTAGAGCAGATTTAAAGAGGAAAATACAGATTTCACATATACACAAATGCGCGCACACGCACACACACACACACAGATATTTGGCGGTACCTCAAGAACACTGGAGCATCTATAACACCACAAGATGAATGTAAAGCAGTGGAATGTATTAGAGAAAAGGGACACTGACTGTGGGTGTGTTGTGGGTATGGGGTGGGGGGATTGGTGGTTTCTGCTGCCCTGCCCTGAGAATGATGGCTAAGACAAGACTCTTTTTTTATTCTTCCAGTGTACGGAAGGAGTTTTGCATGTCTTCGTGGAGTTGGGCGTAATCAGCTTTGATCTTCTCCTCACCCTCTTTCACAGGGTCCTGAAATGCAGTTACAGACTTTAAAAAAACATTTTGAAAATGGAATATAATGACAATTTTAAAAAATAAAATAAAACCATTTAAATAAATAGAAAGAAACAGTCTTTTAAATTGAGTCTTGTTTTATAAACAATTACAATTATTCAACAATAAAATGTAAAGGTGAAGGTCATTTCAATGTAACTAAATGGAACTGAAAAAAGAATGACTCTTTCATCGTGGTTTCTCTAACAGTCCAAACCAATGAATGGTTTACTTATAGTTGAAAGCATGTTAAGCTCGGATAGCAGAAAGTATTTTCAAATAATTTTAAAATTTTAAAAATATATTAAACATTTTTTAAAAAAAATAATAATTTTAATATTTTAAAACTGCATTTTAAAATAAATCACTTCAGCTTTAAAAAACAAAAACAAAACCAACATAATATTCAACCTCTGGCATGCAATATGATTAAATTGCACTGTTTGGCTTGTTCCTGATACTTGTGAATAATCAGCATAAAAGAGGAACCAAACTATTGACAAACCAAGATAACGGAAGCTCTAATAAATCAAGTGGCACAGACTATTTGGATACAATTAAGGCGTGATTCATTTCATCTGGGACGACTCAAAAACAATCAGTGTTTACATCATGTACCTTAAATTTCATGGCACTGATCCTGTAGAGAATTTCTCCCATGTGCTCCCGGATCATGGACCAGGTGATCTTATTGTCGCTCTGTGCAGTGGTCTCTACAGCATGACGTGCCATATCATAGAACGCAATCATGTTGGACAAGATACCTACTGTCTTATAGAACGGACAGAACCTGAAAATTAAATTGAATGTTTTAGTTCCACACTATTCCGAATGTGACAAAGCCAAATAATCATCAGCTTATACACATCACAAGCATGTGTTCACTACCTGTCATAAGGTGTGTATCCATTTTGCTGAAGGAAATCATCCTTGATCAATTTAGCAACTTCCAGTGTGATCTTATCAGTTTCGGCCAATGATGCCTATAATATCAATAACATGTGTTGTATGTTCCAATTAAACTGACTGAATAATAATAATGCAACATAATAATACTGCAAAATAAATTAAGTATAAGCGATGTGTACAAACAGTAAACACACATGAACCCACAAACTCACCTTCCCCACAAGCTGCACAATCTCAGCCAAGTCCTCCTCTTCCTGAAGGATCTCTTTGGCTTTGGTACGCAGTGGCACAAATTCAGGGAAGTGCTTGTCGTAGTGCTCATCCAGAGCTCTTGTGTACTTGCTGTAACTAATGAGCCAGTTCACTGAAGGGAAGTGCTTTCTCTGAGCCAGCTTTTTATCCAGACCCCAAAACACCTGAAAGACAGAATAAGAGATAATATGAACTTTGAGACTGTTTACCTCTTGAAGAAAAAAACAAGGTTTTTTTTTCACCATAAGCAAGTATTAAGACAGCAATGAGAAGAAAATCTAGAATCTTCACTTACTTGTACAATACCAAGCGTAGCAGAAGTCACAGGATCTGAGAAATCTCCACCAGGGGGAGACACACTGCAATTAAAACAAAAGATGGCGCACATTAACAGTAACAACAATAGTCATATATTGTACGATTTGTTAAAAATATATCAAATATAAAAGAAAAAGAAAAACTTTACCAAAGTAAAAAAGCAAATGAAGAGGAAAAAGCATGGAATCAAGTACTTACGCTCCCACAATGCTCACACTGCCCTCTCTCTCTGGGTTACCAAGACATTTAACTCGGCCGGCGCGCTCATAGAATGAGGCCAGACGTGCTCCGAGATAGGCAGGATAACCGCTATCTGTGAATGAGAGCACACACAAACACAAATTTAGCTTATAATTTATAATATTTTCCGTGGTGGCCGAGATGGTCACAGCACACGTACCAGCAGGCATCTCAGCCAGACGACCAGAGATCTCCCTCAGAGCCTCTGCCCATCGAGAGGTGGAGTCAGCCATCATGCTCACATTGTAGCCCATGTCTCTGAAATACTCAGACAGCGTGATTCCTAGATGGAATAAACACCCATAAATGATGAGAACACAGCCGCTACATTTAAAGTGCACATTATTTCTATATCAAATATTCTACAAACCTGTGTAAATAGAAGCTTCTCTGGCAGCCACGGGCATGTTGGATGTGTTGGCAACCAAGCCCGTTCTCTTCATGATGCTCTCCACCTTACCATCCACCTCCATGGTCAGCTATAGGACAAGAGAACTGTCAATCACCCTAATGAACCTTCTATTACAGTTTATGTGCTGTTGGTTCAATAATCACTGATGCTACTCACCTCGGGGAAATCTCGGAGTACTTCAGACATTTCGTTACCGCGCTCTCCACAGCCCACGTAGATGATGACATCACTGTTGGAGTACTTAGACAGGGACTGAGAGATCACAGTTTTACCACAACCGAAAGCACCAGGAATGGCTGTGGTTCCTCCCTGCACACATCTGTCGAATCAAACAGGGAAAACTAAAAGATCTGTTGAACCAAAACTTCTACTGTACTTAATTATTTAAACCACTCCTATTTCTGTTGATTGACATTTATGAAGTTTTTCATTATTGTAAAAAAAATTGTGGTAGATCCATGATTTGTCCATTTGTCATTTGAAAATTAAATCTAATATTATTTTGGAAAATTATGGAAATATTAACATTATTATAGAATTATTTTATACAACATGACTCACGGAAAAAGGGCGTCCAGTACACGCTGACCAGTCAGCAGAGGGTGATTTGCAGGAAGCTTCTCAGTGACAGGCCGGACCTGACGCACGGGCCACACTTGCACCATGGTGAACTTCTCTTTCACTCCCTCAAACTCCAACTCCAACACCACATCCTGACAAACACACACATGCACATTGACTTCCATATCCAAATAATTAACATTTTACTGTTCTTCACAAATTTAACCTGTTACTAGGCTCACCGAGACATCATAGTTTCCAGGTGGAGCCACATACGAGACAGTTCCTCTGCTTTTTGGCGGTAACATTATTTTGTGTTTAATAAGAGAGTTTTCAAACACCATTCCATAGATGTCACCTCCAGTGATGTGACTGCCAACCTGTGATGGACACAGAAACCGCTTAAAATCACTCAAACATTTGATTTGATTGATCACCTGACAGCACCTGTTGGAGCACTTTTAAAGTGGTCATATCATATTTTCTTTGAGGTCCACAAATAATGTTAGTAAAGTATATTTCACATCATAATATTGTGATGCCTCCATAATTCAGTACATTAACTTAAAAATAAAACTAATCATTCTCTTACACGCAAGCTCTTGATTGGAGTGAACTCCCATTTCAGATCACGGTTAAGGGCACCAATGTTGACTCCTCTGGGAATGTAGATACTTTGAGTGAGGTCATTGATGTCTTTGAGGGGACGCTGAATACCATCAAAGATTGAACCCATGATTCCTGGTCCTAACTCCACAGAGAGAGGTTTTCCTGTGCGCAGGACAGGGTCACCAACGGAAACACCAGCTGATGAAAGCTCAGGAAAACAACAAAACTATTTAATAGATTCTACACACCGCATAACAGCAACCGTAGAAAGTGTGTCCTTTACTAAGGTAAGAATAGGATACATGTCTCTTCATAGACCTGGATGGTGGCCATGTCACCCTCCAGCCTGATGATCTCTCCCACAAGCTCACAGTGACCCACTCGCACCAGCTCGTACATGGCAGCTCCTGCCATACTGGAGGCCGTCACCACTACAACACAATTAGAGAGTCAGTAACAATAAATGGAACCTTCAAAATGACTTATGGACAGTCTAACAATAATAAAATAATAAAATAAAATAAAGCATCAAAAGCTCTGTTTAGTCATGACATAATACAAATAAAACAAAATTAAATTAAATTTAAGACATCTGAATTTCTACTAACCAGGTCCAGATACACCATGCACATATCCAAATTGTCCCTCCTGCTCCTCATCTTGGATCTTGGGCAGCTTGGAGAAATCCATTTTGAGTGTGTCTAACACAAAATAATGTCAAAATTTAAATAAATAAAAATACAATACAATACAATATAAATTTTTAAAAACCAGTGTAATTATAGAGATTATTATCTGGATTATTTATTACTTTCTTAATTTTTTCTGTCATCTTTTTACATATTTATATCAGAATAATTTGCAGTATTTATGTTATCCTGTGTAAAAAGCCCATTTATATTTATACAAGCAACATTTATATAAGCATACTGTGACACAAAACATGGAACAGTGTCACATGACCAAGGGCACATGACACTGACTGTAAAAGAAACCATGCGAGGAAGTGGGGAAAATAGACAGTTGAGCAAATCTGGAAAAATTGTGTTTTGTAGTGGCATTTTTTGACAAACTGAACAAATCCTTTTTAATTTGATAACTACAACTAAACACCCCAAAATAATATAAAATAATGCATTACACTGACACATTTATTCATAAAAATAACCATCTATTTCTGTTATTAAACGCCTCAAGAGGAACCAGTCGAACTTCCAGGTTTTTGTGAATTTATAATCACATGATTCTCCTATGACATCTGGGATTATTGGGGACGAATGATCCATTTAGTATGAAGTATGTTCTCTACAGCATACAGCATATGAGGGCCCAACATTGAGGGAAACAACTATTAATTTGAGCAATCCTGCATGATAAATTGGATTAAAAAAAAAACAGACAGAGCTGACTTTTGAAATCCTGAAATAATAATAGTAAAGTACTGTCAGTACAGAAAAAATAAAATTCCTTATTAAGGACATATGGTCTGCAAACAGAATGCTGTTGTTGACTGGAGAGAGAGAGAACAGCAGACAGTGGTTGTCTCATGGATAGTGGTCAAAAACAAAACCTCTGCATTGATAAAGATTTGAAGATTAAATATTAGAGTATATTAATATTCTATAAACAATTTAATGCATGTAGCTTGTATTTTGCAATGGAGATTGAGCTGCAAAGAGATGCTGCATGATCACATGATCCCGATGCTGCTGATATGATTTGACCTTTGCTGAAAATCTAAGGCATTTTTTTTTTCTCCCAAAGCGCTACAAAATCTTAATATTCGGAAACCCGTGAGGAAATCTATCCTGATGATATATTGAAATCCACAATTTGTGTAGCATTCAAGTGGGATATTCCCAGTGCTGCAGGGGAAAATAAACATGTCACGAGAGATTCGAGCTGCGCGCAGATGCGAAGCGAACAGTGATTCAGCGACACAGTGTACACAACAGCACAATAAACTGTTAAATAATGGTTATTAAAGAATAAATAAACTACAAAGAAAATCTAAGAAAAAAATCTTATAATAATATTTTCATCTTGATTAACCTAATAAGTAGCTACGGTATAATGCGGTCTCAGCACTTAAAAAAATATATGATAATAATTTCCAAAAATACCTCAGATAATGAGACGGTCCTGTGTCCAGATCCTTTGGTGAGAGATGAGACGAGAGAAACGAGAAAAGTCAGCTGACTTCATTCAGTTGAGAGCTGACGTCACGGCCCCGTTCTCCCTCTGCAGAGTGAAGAGTCTTTGCTTTTAACTTCATATCGCCCCCTACTGTGTGCGCCGTTGCTTTCTATTGTTCTCTGGGTCACAAATATACATCATTTTATTTCTAAAGGAATTCTTCACTTGAATCCAGCAATCAAAGTAAACAAAGCGGTTTCTCTTATTAATACATTTCTCCGTTTTCTCACTGTTTTCTTTAGACTATGTAATCAGAAATCAGTACACGTAAGTCTCAAAATAACAAAAATATAATTATATAATATATAAATGTGTACTACACATTCAAAAAAAGTCAGTCATAATGATTGTGGAGTTTTGTGCAACCATGCAGTTAATGCAGTAGCTATCATAACACACAAAAACAGATCTCTTTCTCTGTGGATTTTATTTTAAGGGATCACAAGGCTGAAAAGTTTAGGTTAATTGCTGAACATCCAAACAGTAAGTCAACGTAACTCAACTAAATTTACTGTAACACTTAAGTATTACTTAAATATGAATGCTATTATGAGGTATATTGGTACTTGATATTCTCACATTATCACTATTATGTTCGTCTTATGTGAAATCTGGTTGTTAATTTATCACATAGAGTGCGTTGCGAAGCTATTCATACCCCTTCGATTTTTTCCCCAAATTTAATGTTGCAGCCTTATGCTAAACTGCGTTAAATGACCTTTTCCCACATAAATCTACACTCCACACCCCATAATGACAAAGCAAAAAACAGATTTGTGATAATTTTGTGAATTTATTAAAAATAAAAAACTGAAATAATTACATTGCATAAGTAGTCCTAGCCTTTTCTGGGACATTTGAAATGTAGCTCAGGGGCATTCCAGTTTCACGGGATCATCTGAGATGTTTCTACACTTAAACTGGATTTACCCTTTGGCAATTTCAATTGAATGGACATGATTTGAAAAAGGCACACACAACACCTGTCAATAAAAGGAGCAAAAACCAAGCCAAGACATCAAAAACATTCTGCTGCATTAAAAGTTCACACAAGCATGGTGTCTCCACAATATTTAATGGAAGATGTCTCGAACAACCAGCTCTTCCAACAGCTGTCCTCCTGGTCAAATTGAGAAATCGATGGAGACAGGCCTTGGTCACAGTCCCAAACCCTTTACTTGCAACTATCCTGATGGCCGTCAATAGTGAAGGATATGCTCTTTCTTTGCACCCAGATGGCATCTAACACCAGGGGCCGGTTGCATAAACCGCTTAGACTATATTACAAGTAAGTCATTGAATTTTTTCTTTAATACTGTTCATAACTTTTTTAAGTCAGTTACATAAAAATGTACATGGGCCTCATTTGATACCAAAAAGTAAGACGAACCATCCCCTGACTAACTGCTTGTGGGTCATATTAGATATTAAGACACTGTCTTAACATAATGGCTAACTGGCCCCTGGTCTAACAGGGCCATGCTAGTCAAACCTTGACCTCTTGGATGTATCCATACTTTTGAGGTAGTTTTCACCTAGTAATGGTTACTGTGTAAAATTGAATACAATGTAAAAATTATTTTAAATGTAAAAGTCACCTTGACTAGAGTTCAAATATAAACAGTAAAATGTTTCCTTCAATTTCTTTTTTTAACACATGATCTTATTAATTTGTGTATTTTATTAGACTGTGTACAGGGATTATAGCGTTTTTTTCTCAATCATGACATCAAAGTGACTAATCAATAATGCGAGACACCACAGGCAAAAACTGTTTTTTCAGACTAGTGGAAAGAAAACATCCAAAATACCCTTTTAAGTGTTTCTTTTATAGCACTTTATCTATTTGCGACTGTAGATTTGAATCTTTACTGATTAGATTTTACAGTAGGCTACATATCGGCTATTTAAAGGCTGTTTTGTCAAAATGAGATTTTTCTCCTGCACTGAGAAAATCTCCACTTCAGCAGCACTTACATACACCAGACTTTACAGTTTAATTCCTATTCTGAAGGTTTTTACAGAGTTTGTACAGTTCATATATAATTTGACTGATTTTATACATTTTATTCTTAAAAAATGGTGAAATAAAAAAAAAAAGTCTGGCTGTTGACAGTATTTTAAGTGATTTTTTTATATATATTTTTTTATTACCATATTCACCTGAGGTGTCTTGCCTTAATAAGCTTTGTATTTTGTCGATACATTATTTTATTTGGATTAAAATAATAGGGCGGGACTTGTATTTTCAGGGCACAAAATTACCTAAACGTAATTTCCCGTTTTTCTGTTTCCTGTCGCTTGTTGTCAGTGGTGAAGGTTGACAGCAGCAGCCTCCCAGAACTAGCGTTGCCAAATCCTCTGTTTCGATTAGTTAATGATGTGAGATCGTAAGTGAATTTCCAAGGATTAAACCCGTTCTCGTGTCTATCTATATCACATTAACTGTTATAGTAAATTCGGAATATTTCAAAACAACTATAACATCTTTTAATTTGGTCCTTATCCTGATTTAAATTGTTTTGCGGCGATTTAATCGCAAAGATCTGGCAACCCTCGGCCACAGCACAGAGGCAAATGCGGACTGCTTAGCTAGTGTGCTAGCAGCATACATGTGGAGGGGATCACATCCCAAACTCTGCCCAAATTCCCCTTTAGACTGCCAAATACCGCCAACTGCCCCTGTATCCCTCACAACAAACGTATTTTCTTCAACATGAAAGGGTGAGTAAACAGCTAAGAAGAGTCTATTCATTTCAAGTAAAGTTTTCCCCTCTATTCTCTCTTTTTTCCAGTAGGGGGGCAGTGGAGTTGGTCTAATGCTAGCTGCTAGCTCTCTGCGCGCTTAATGTTTGAGAAGAAATATTTGCGCCGCATTTTCACACCCAGCCTTTAGTCATTGCCTTGCCATTTTCACCAGTTGTCCGAAAACGCCTTAAAAATCCCTCATATAATCTAGCGTCAGATTTATCAAAATGCCAGTACAAATGGCACGAGTTAAGTCCGTGCCAAACTGGATCGTGTGTCGAATCTAAATCCGAAAATGTTGAGTCAGTCTTCAAGTTGCTATCTTGGTTAGCCAGCCACGCTTATATTCCTCTGAAATAAGCTCTCATGGATCCTGAGGCCGTTAGTTTGACATTAAAGCTTGTTGTCATGTTGTTTTCTTTCATATTTGTGAATATTTTGATGTAAAAATTGAGAGATGTGACACACGTGATGGAGTGAGCTTAGCCACATAGCATATTCTCTTTGAAAATGACAGAACACGTTTAGAGGGTTTTAAGACACTTAATGAAGGTTGTTACTTTAAGTTTGGTGGATGAAATTATTGTAATAAATATATAATGTTGCGTCATGATAATTTCACTGAAGTGATGCTTTGATCATGTATAAAGAAAATTAGTGACATTGCCTTTCTAATTCTCTTTAAATACTTTTCAATTTAAGTGTCATATTTTAAATTTTTACATGCACATCTTCAATAGTAATACAGTGGTACCCAACCCTGTTTTTGGAGGGCATCCAACAGTAACTTGCACACATATCTGACACACCCATTACAGGTCTCTGCTCTATGGAGCAGATGAGAATCAGGTGTTTGATTTGAAAAACATCCAAAATGTGTATTTTTAAGGGAGCCTCCAGGAACAAGGTTGACCATAGCTATAACAGTCCCTGATTATGTTTAGAAGGTGGTTTGATAGTATTTGAATGAACTGTCATTCTTGCTTTATGACAAAATGGGAGACATTATCTCAGTAGGGGTCAGGCTTGCTATTTGAAACCAGTGCACTTTGATGTGATGTTTGGGAATCACAAGGTTTTGTTTTGTGATAGTAATGGTCATCCACCAGTACGAGGTGACAGGAGAAAACATGGACTCTAAATATGTATTTAGTATCCATGTTTTTCTCCTGTCACCTCATACTGGTCGTTCAAGTGGCTGTGGTAAGCATGTGACCAGCAGCTGTTGTGTTGGTGCTGGGCTGCAGCATGCTGCCTTCCTATAAATACCTGCTTTATACACTGCTGGTTTACAGTGATCATACATTGACCCAATACATTTTTGGTCAGACTTTAGTTTAGGGTCCAATTCTCACAATTAACTAACTATTAAAGGAATAGTTAACTTAATAGTGATCATAATCTCACCCTCAAGTTGTTCCAAACCTGTTGAACACAAAGGAAGATATTTTGAAGAATGTCGGTAACCATACAGTTGATGTACCTCATTGACTTTCATAGAATTTTATTTTCCTACTATGGAAGGCAATGGGGTACATCAACTGTCTGGTTACTGACATACTTCAAAATATCTTCCTTTGTGTTCAGCAGAAGAAAGAAATTCATACAGGTTTGAAACAACTTGAGGGTGAGTAAATGATGACAGAATTTCAAGTGAACTAGGCTATTCCTTTAACTATGACTTTTGCCTCAAACTCCTAATTACTGCTTGTTAATAGTAAGGTAGTTAAGTTTAGGTATTGGGTAGAATTAAGGGATGTAGAATATCACCATGGGAATGATTAAGGCATTAATATGAGCTTTATAAGTACTAATGATGAACAGCTAATATGCATGCTAATAAACAACTAGCTCATAGTGAGCATTGGACCCTAAACTAAAGTGTTACCTATTGTTTGATTTTTGGTGGGTGCACTGTTTGGATGGCACCAATAAAATAAAGTAAAAAGAGACTCACTGATAAGGATGCTTTCACACTGGCAGTTTAGTTCCAAACGGGGTACGGTTCACATTAAAAATTGGTGACAGCTGTCATGTGGTTGTGCTGGAGCTGTGGCACGATTTGCATGAATGTGAAAGCTTTTCAGACGCGGCTGATCACTTGTTTAGGAAGTTAATCTGTACTGTTTTTTTTGGAATCAATTAAAAATAAAACGCTAAATAAAACAAATCAGTCGCTTTAGGCATTACAACATTATAGAGTATGTAAAGTGCATATTCATATTTTGAGATCTGTTGAAGATTTAACGTTTATTGGTGTTTTAATTATTTTGGTAGCGTGGTGGCTCAGTGGGTAGCACTGTTGTCTCACATTAAGAAGGTCCCCGGTTCGAACCCCGGCTGAGCCAGGAGTTTTTTCTGTGTGGAGTTTGCATGTTCTCTACGTGTCACTGTGGGTTTCCTCCGGGTGCTTCAGTTTCCCCCACACAGTCCAAAGACATGCAGGTTATGTGGTTTGGATATGCCAAATTGACCGTAGGAGCGTGTGTGAGTGTGTCCCTGGGTTGCATCAGGAAGGACATCCGGCGTAAAACCTGTGCCAAATCCAATGTGTGTGTGTGCGCGGATAATTCCGATGAAGCAGACCTTACAAATAAGCGGGATTAACACTAGGAATATATATATATTTGTGTTTTAAATTTAAGTGAGCGTTGCATGACAAAAGAAATTCTAAATGTTCTGTAATAATAGGGAAAATTATATACATATAGCTACTGTTTGTGTGCGTGTATATATATATATATATATATATATATATGTATATATATTCAATATCAACTATTTTCTCCATTCCTAATAGTAAAGCTATAATACAGATATTTGTAGAGACTGAATGCTCTCCTGACACGTAGAGATGGAGTTAGTTTTTTTTTTGTGTACAGCTAGTTGACCATTCTGCTTTTGTTCTAGTAGCCGGATCGAGTTGGGGGACGTTACACCCCACAACATTAAACAGTTGAAGCGTCTGAACCAAGTGATCTTCCCTGTCAGCTACAATGACAAGTTCTACAAAGATGTTCTTGAAGTAGGAGAGCTCGCCAAGCTAGGTAAGAAACATAGCTTCTGTGACTTCCTAATGATGCTTTTGTCATTATATGTAAACTACCGTTCCAAAGTTTATGGTTTGTACTTTTTTTTTTTAAGTTTCACAAAGATTCTGCTCACTAAGGCTGTAATTATTTAATCAAAATTCATTGAACCGGTAATATTGTGAAATATTATTACAATTTAAAATGACTATTTTCTATTTGAATATATTTTAAAATGAAATTTAGTCCTGTGATGTCAAAGCTGAATTTTCAGCATCATACCAGTGTCACATGATCCTTCAGAAATCATTCTAATATGCTGATTTGGTGCTCAAGAAACATTTCTGATTATTATCAATGTTGCAAACCATTGCACCTTAATATTTTTGTGGAAACCGAGACGCTTATCAGGATTCTATGATAAATAAAAAGTTCAAATCAAAAGAATAGCATTTATATGAAATGGAAGATTTTTGTAACATTTATAAATGCCTTTACTGCCACTTTTGATCAATTTAATGTATCCTTGCTGACTGAAATTATTAATTTCTAAAATCGTATTGGCTAAAACTTTTAAACTGTATTGTAAATAGATTCCTGCTAACCATTTAAACCTTCTACAGCGTATTTCAACGACATCGCAGTTGGTGCCGTGTGCTGTAGAGTGGATCACTCTCAGAACCAGAAGCGACTCTACATCATGACACTGGGTTGTCTAGCACCTTACCGCAGACTTGGCATAGGTAAGATTTGTTTTCTGACCATTTTTAGGTGCTTGTGTGTCCTCATTTATTTCAAAGGGCATTCAGGAGTCAGATTCCCTGCAATGCCTGACATGAAGACTTGTGTAATCCACTAGAGCAGTGATGTTTGAATTTTGTTATTTGAACATTTTCCAGTTACTGATATGCATCTTGCCATGTTTGTTTGAAGGAACAAAAATGCTGAACCATGTGTTGAACATTTGTGAGAAGGATGGCACTTTTGACAACATTTACCTGTGAGTCTGAAAACGGTCTTGTGCTTTATTTGTTGTGAAACATCCATCTGTCTCATTCATATAATGTTTAATGTTGATACTTGAGTAACTATGTAAAGTCTGCTGCAAAATGAATCACTGAATATGTAAAGAGTCTTCTACATGCTTAAGTCACATGGTTTCGGTTTCTCTTTCATGTCTCCACAGTCATGTGCAGATCAGCAATGAGTCTGCAATTGACTTCTATCAGAAATTTGGCTTTGAGATCATTGAGACAAAAAAGAACTATTACAAGAGGATAGAGCCAGCAGATGCCCACGTTCTTCAGAAAAGCCTGCGCAGCCCATGTGCGCCCCCAGCAGGAGAGCTGCAGAAAGCCAACTAGGGGTCGAAGCGCAACACCACATTGGTTTCTTCCCCAAATGGAACTGTAACAGATGCCCCAGGGTTGACACACTCACCACTTTCTTCAGAGGACATTTTAGGCAGAAAAAATCAATGACGTATTTGCTGCATTTATTGTGCAAAAACTTAAGTTTCAAATTTCAATTTTTTTTTTGGTTTCATCATTTAGAGTTGAAATTACATGGAGGTTTTCAAGCAGAATTCATAAGTGCTCCAAAAAGCTGCTGACTTCCTATTGATCTGACATGGTGAAGGTTGTTTTCAAAGCATACTGTTTGCATTTTTTTTTTTTTTTTAAGGTAAGGGGACATCGCTTTGCTTGGACAAAACAATAGAACAACAGAGGTAAAAGTCTTTTTAAAATATGACTCGATACGCCCCAGCTGGCAACCTTGGAGGGATTGTTTGAATCGTCTTAGGGGCACTTGGAATCCGCAGAACTCAATCACCCCGCCATCTGAGCCCTCGGACACGCGCGTGGCAAGGGGATCTGCAGGTAGCTGAGACCTCCTGTTTCACCATACAGGCAATATGCAATGTTGGAGGGTTGCATGTGATGCAATGTCTCCTTGTGATGTCAGCCGCCTCAGTCTGTGTTGAGGCTAACCCAGTGAGGAAATGGAGCGTAGAGCCCCCTCGAACAAGAGAGTGGTACTGTTTTAGTATGGAGGAGGTTAAGGGGAGTAAACTCCACTTGTTTGTGAATGTTTTGTTTTTCAGCCCATTATTTAATATCCCCATCTGTTTTCTTCCTTTTTTTAAATTTGTGGATTGAGTCTGGGCTTTTTCTGGGGTTTACAGTAATGCTGCCTGTGAGATGTTACAGCTTCAGATAGCAAGATATGGCTTTTTATGGGCCTTGACGGTTGCATTGTTTATGGTGGATGTGGTTCTCAAATAATTTTCAATCCACCAGGACTTAAGTTAGAGTTTAGTAGTTGTTGTTTTACTTGAAATAAGTTTCATTTCCCCCCACCCATTACCTGCCTGACTGTTTCTAAATTTAAATCCCAGCTTCTCACTTGTTAACGCATCAGAAATAAATCCTCCCACAATGCAACAGTTACATTTCAGTGATGTTCACTGACCACCACCTATTTCCCATATACAATGTGGGAGTGAAAAAGGTTAGTTCTACAAGTTATTGTATAGGACTTACAGAACCAGATCCCAGAAAAAGCCTTGACTCAGCGCATGCCAAGGGAGACATGCCCTCTCCATTGTAGTAAAAGCACGTTTTTTGTTCCTCCTTTCTTTGGAAAATTTTATCTTTTTCTGGAGCTCTATATTGTATGACTTTTAAACCTCTAAATAAAAAAAAAATACTATTTGCATTATTTTTCGTTTTTCATTATTTTTGTGGACAACTGGGCATAACAATCATATTAATCGGTATGCAATATACTAGTAAAAAAATACGTTTTTACTTTTAGAATATCTTAAAAGCTTTATTTCATTTTACAAGGTTACAAAGTCCACTATACTGCGGGACAATAACAACAAACATTCACCTCTCCTGCGTTGTGTGCTTTTTCCGATGACCTCATCAACAATAACGCCCCTTCAGCACGGACTCGTGATCTGATTGGATGCAATCTCATTCGTCTTTACTGTTATTGGACAAAACGGAAATCCCGCCTCACTGTTTTATGACTGGCAGTTTCATGCTAGGTCAGAGATGGAGTAAATTGGTCAGGATCAACAAAGTTTTGACGAGGATATCGTCAGCTCAAAGAATGGACAAGCAATCGGTAGGTCCTTGACAGGTGACAGAACTGCGGACATGTTGTGTTAAACAGATTAGTGATGCAGGTTGTAATCGAAAACCATGGTGATGTGTTGTTAGCTGTCGTGTTAGCTCAATGCCAGTTAACCACTCAAGCTATCTTTGTACCTTAAGGGCATGCGAAATGAGACACTTAAAAGAGTTGTACCGTAATGTGTGTACAGTCAGCTATATTTTCATCAGTCTGTATTTTATTTATTCAATCTATTCAGGCTTTGAGCTCAATACAGATTGTTTAGGTTTCAAAGCTAACAAGCTAAGTCTGATAGCCAAGTGTTAAAGAGCTTCACATGTTCGTGGTGACAGGCGAGTCAAACTGGCTTTCTTGTACTATATTTACATGTATTAAAATTTAGATTTAATAAACAAGCTCAGTTGGCTGCAATCTGTAGTGTATGTCTGTATTGCTAACCTCTGACCTCAGTCAGATTCCTCCTTACTGCTTTGAAGACTTGTAAGTAAATACAATGTCCATTTCATGTAAATGCGTATAACCTTTCTACATATGTCAAAACTGTCAATGAAACTCTGTACATAATATAGAGAACAATAAGTTAATTGACACAATCCTGTAATAGTGTTTGATGTAAAGTTATGTCATATGTCATAATTTACTATTAAGAGCTATTATTTTCCCTCTTCTTCACTACAGTTTCTTATGGAGCATAGAGGTGCCTGGATTTATGGTCTTCAACATTGAGCTCACACATTCATAGCTGCATGCTTAGTGCTGAAAGGTAATATTGCATTTACCTCCAACCACAGCATATCCCCTTACATATTATGCTATGAGTTGCATTCTTTTCAAATAAGATTTTGTTAATGTGTTTTGGTATTAACAGGCTGTACAGTGTGCCAGGATGCCGGAGATAGTACAGAATCAAACAAATAACCCAAAACCGCCACGGTACTGATCAATTCCTGCTTAAAGAGTATATTGAATGTCAAAGTAGCTCTGACTGAACCCAATTGTTCTTTCATTAAATTGATCATTTTTGGGCTATGTTTGTTTTATAGGTGACACTTTACAATAAGGTTCTATTTTATGTTTAAAATACTTTGATTTAATTATGCGTATGTATTTGCTAATCAATAAATTGTGTAATACAGTGTGATTTAAAAAAATATATATATTATTAGCTAGGTAGAAGTGTGCCAATGTGGACTGTTATTTCTTATTCACTTGAGTTCAAGTGGTATACCATTTATTAATTTTCTGTGAAATGTTAGGCGGAAGAAAAACAAGGAGATTCATAATGCAGGTGAGGAAGTTTAATGGTAATAGTGCGAGTAATCTTTCTTTTTAATATGTAATAAATCTTTTTCTAAGTAATATGTTTGTATGCTATTCCTTGTTTCCCTTATACATCAGTGGAAAGACATCGTAAAGAGAAAATCAATGCTGGTATAAATCGGATTGGAGAGCTTTTGCCTTGCTCTCAGGCCTTGAAACAGGTAAACGCATGTAATAAAAGTATAAACTAAGCACAATTTTAAAAGCTGTTCTTACAGAGTTCTCAGTCTGTAATATTTTGCTTTTCCTTATAGAGTAAAAATATGATTCTGGGAGAGGCTTTTCGTTACATCACTGATCTAAAGCGACAAAGTGATGAAATGCTGCTTAATGGAGGAGACAAAGTCCAAGGTGAGCCATGATCACAAAATTTAATTGTATTAACTGTGTGAATTTACATATGATGATTAACATGTTACTTATTCCTTATGGGATATGGTTTTATTAAGATAAGTGTTGAATTCATTTCCTGTCAATGCATTCTTTGTAGGCTTTTGTGCAGTCATTCATTTTGATATCTATGTTAAATATGTCTCTGCAGCAGAGGAGATAAAGCGCTTACGGCACCAGGTGGAGGACCTACGCAAGGAAAGCGCTCATTATATTGAGCTCCTCAAAGCTAATGGCATCAATTTCCTTGATGACCCCACTATACACTGGAAAGGGAAGCAGCGCTGTGCAAAAGTAGCCAAAGTCACTCCGACGCACTTAATGTCAAAGGGAATAATCGTATACTCCAATGGCAACAACTCCTGTCCAACAAACAAAATCTCCATTCCACAAAATCCAGTTTCTCATCTTGATAAACAACCGGCAAATGCTGTAACAGTCCAACCATCATGTGATATTACATTAGGCACGGGCCAGACTGTTGGTATTATGAATGGAGCACCAGTCAACAAAGTTGTAGTCACTTCTGCATCTTCCCACATACCTGTAGCAACTATTATTCCTGCTGTATCCAAGTCACGTCTTACAGTTGTGGAACAATATTCTCCTCTGGCACCTACTACTCCATTAAACCCTCCTATGAATTATATTACTGTTCAAGGTTTATGTCCCCAGCCTGCTGTCAGCACCCCACTCCCTCCACAACTTCAACCCGATAACCCAACCCCCAGTCTCACTTCTGCTACCTGTCCGGCCACGCCTCTCAGACTTCAGCATATGCTTAACCTATCTTCGCTGCCTCAAGTTGTCATCAGTAACTCAGTTGTTCCTGTCGCTGCAGCCCCCACCATGCTCTCACAGAATTCTGAAATCCAATCGGTTAGCACTATATTACCAGCAAGCTCTACCCTTCTTAGAACCAGTCCAACTAGTAGCACACAGACTACATGGACAACACTACAACTGGCAGGAAATACAGTGCAACCTGTCTCCCAGGCACTCATCACAGATGGTGCCAGCATTTCACATAACCCTCAGCAACTTTCTGTATGTTCAGTGGGGACAAAACACCTTGAGGAGCCCACTTCTGTCCATTTGCAACCACAGGCTCCTGTTCAACTGCAAGCCCCAACTTCAACTTGCATTCCTGTTCAGCCATCTGGGCCAAGACCTCCTCAGATATATTCTGCGGTTGTGCCGTGCCCTCAGACAGCCATAGCACAACCGTCATCAATTTTATCGGTGCCAAGCATTGTATCCCAAGCTATAGTGGTCCATCAGCCATCTGTTGAAACACAGACAGCACAGTTGACCCATCCACAATCATCTGTTCGAGTGCAACCTGCATTATTACCAAAACCTCAACTCAGCTCTGCTCTAATGACCACCTGTAATCCCAACCGGCAATCTAAAACTCCAGTTCAGCCTGCTCTGCCATGCCAGCCTCATTCTCAACCGACAGTGGTGCCCCAAGCCCAGTCTGCCATTGTGCCTCAACTGCATCTTAGTGTGGTGCCTCAAGCTCAGCCAATCATAAATCCACCAACGCAGCCTGCCCTTGTGCCTCAACCACAAGCTGCCACACTGCCAGTGTTACAGACGATGCAGTTATTGCAGGTGAATTCTGATGAAACACCAGTTGCTGTGACCTCCTCTCCTCCAAGTAACTC